TTCAACAACACCAGCAACAACAACTGTGTAAGTATTTGTGTGAGTGTATGTGTGCGTGTGTGTCGCGACGCCCGCTTGGCAAAGTGTTACCAACATGATATATTTGTTGTTGGACAGCCGACCAAGTTGTATTATTCAATCAACATAAATTTTGTGTTGTTGTTGTTGTTACTGCTGCTGTTAGATTGTTTATCATATTCAAATGCAGCGCCAAGGTCTATCTACATTTTCTGTAAGTGCTTACAAGCTTTGCTCGTGAACCCGCCCGAAACGTGCTTACCCACAAAGCGTTTTGCATCTGATTTGCTGTCAGAATGTTTTGTTTCAACTTCTGTTTTTTTTCTTGTTGTTATTTGAGTAGGCGTCTCGCACTGATGATGTGTTAATCTTGTAATCTTTGTTTAAATATATAGTTCTTGTTGTTGTTGTAACTTACCTGGAAAAATAGAAAATAAAGAGTTCTGTAAATAAATCATCACAGACAATTTTCTTTGTAAAACGTAATGAGAGTAGATAAATCTTAGATGTAGATAGTTTTTCAATTAATACATATTATATACAGTGGTGGTCAAATAAATGTTACAATAAATTTAAATTTGTTATTACTATTTAATTCATATATATATATTTACGATTCCTCTTCTTAAATATATACTTATGAGTTAGGATAAACACATACATATCATTTTATCGCGGTGACTTAATTCGTCAGCCGTTTGAAGTCGAGTATAAAATGCTTCATTTGACTACTACTTCGACGCTCGTAGGTTCGATATTCAGCTTGAGAAGCATTTTAACTCATAGAATAAAGCTGTTTTTAACAAAAGTTCACCTTCTATAATATAAGACCATTTATGATTAGAAAAGGCTTCTCATATATAACAATCAGCAGTCCGGTGATCCGAGAAGCATTACATCCACTTGCACGTTAGAAAAACCCCACAAAAAAGATTTTAGTTGAATACAGGTAAAGATCGAAGGATTAGTCAAAATTTTGATTTTTGACAAGGTGCCGACTCCCCAGAAAAAATTACCAAAAGTCTTATTTCTTCTATCATTACCTGACAAACAGTTATATCTAATCCTGTAAAAATTTCAGGCCGATCAGTCCAGCCGTTTCGGCGAAATTTTTCCTTACCGCCTCTGAAAAGAGCGTTTCGAGAAAAAGTAGATTCAATTTTGAGAGGCTTAGTGTAAAGAAGAAAATTTCTTATAATGACGCTCATACCTCCGAAATTATTTGCTGGATCAACTTCGAATTTTTGGAGAATATTCCTAAACATATGTACATTCTTCGCAAAAAAGAATAATTTTTTTGAAATTCACAAGTGTATATAACCCCTTAAGTATCGAGTACAAGTTAAGCAAACAACATAAATGGTATGTAAAGCTTGAATATGTGGCAATTTTATAATATATGGTATACCATTCCAAATATTTGTGTAAAATTGTGTCTTTCAAAATCCCCATATTAGATTACCCATATAAAAAATGTATAAGATTGCTTCTATAATTGTCTTCAGCGCTAGTTTCTTCTTTTCTGGACTTACTGGATACCAAATTGCTTTGGAAAAAATTCATATGAGATTTTTTCTAGTTAACGAGAGTTTTCGATCAAATGGGAAATGTTTTCACTCATCCAGATAATTTCCTTGAATACTGTTTTTATCGATTGTGTGAAATTACATCTTCAAGTTTTTCTAGATATTTCTATTTTATAGAAGCAAACAAAATTTAATTATTATTATTATATAATTAAAAAATGTTAAGCCAAACTGAGATTTCGTCATATTTATCTGACTACAACTGTACCTATGTAGTAACTACATATGTATTTATGTATAAAAATTGATATGACAAGTGATTCTGAGTGATGTTGGACCATCACCTTCACGCAAAGTTGGTATGATTGTTGCTAGTCCAGTTACATACATCACCAACAATTCTTTCGAAATCAGCTATTATGTCAGTTTTCTCATAAGAACTGAAATAAATTATAACATTAAGATAGATAATTTGCGTTAAATGACATGCGTTGTAAAAGAAAGCCATAAATATGTATGTAAAACCCCTTTAAAAGAAGTAATATAATACATCTGAAATTTCAAGTAGGCCTTCATCTTCTTCAGCAAATGGAGACGTGCTGGATTAATGTTGCCACCGAACATTCAATAGATTTTGGTGGATAAAAATCCACATGAATGATTGTGATGAAGTTGACCTTACTCAACTGGCTCGGCTGCGTTGAAAGCCAGGTGGTGACACATAGCATTCATTAGACAATTAAACAAATGTAAAGAAAATTTCCGTAGAATCTTTCTGTTTAAAATCTCATGGATCGTCTGATGTGTTGATAACATTGAATGTAAATCGAGATTTTCCTTGAGGAAGCTCAATTTAAAGTAAATTTTTCCGGACTGTTCAGTTCAGCACATCGTATGTTTGTGACAAGGGAGGCTCATTTATTAGAAAACCACTGTGTCAGGTCTTTCTGACACTGTACACTTCCCAGTATTTTATTCAATAAATATGAAAATTCAAGTAATAATTAGGCACCAAGGATCCCAAACCAAATCGGATATATATTTTTATAAGATTGGATTTCACCTTCTGCTCGATCAGCGAAACTTCATGTTTATATAAAAAATAATATTATATAATAATATATAACTAACAGATATACTCTTACGAAAGGAGGTCACAGTTCTTTTAGGTTATTATTGCTCAAAGACGATCCCGTCTGGATGACAAATAGTTCGTAACATGAGTTCCTTACTAACTTCGAATATTACTGCGAAATGTGTTTTTTGAACTCTGAACAGAGTATAGTAAAATAGAGACGAAGTTTGTAACATCCGAAAGGATACGTCGGAGACCCTATAACATTTACAATATATTATATAAAAATTATCAGCATGGCGAGCTGAGTCGATTTAGCCACGTACGTCTGTCTGTATATACGCGTTTTTGATCTTTTTTTGATCGTTATCGATCTGAAAATTTGCACACGTAGCGGCGATATTGGACAACTATAGCATATAGCTGCCATGCAAAAGGCGGAAATTACATACATTAAGACCAGATAGATTCCGGAAATTGTAAATAAAATGAAAAAAATTTCCTCTTCATCAATATTTATTTTGCCCTTCAAAATATGCTCTTTCTGAAGCGATACACATATGCCACCTCTTTTTCCAATCATCGAAACATGCCTTGTAGGTCCGGGGCCAAGATCGGCTTCAGTTTCTTCTGCGAATTTTCTTTTACGGCCTCAATCGAGTCGAAACGGGTTCCACGGAGTGGTAACTTGAGTTTTGGAACACAAAAAAAATCGCATAAGGCCAAATCCGGTGAATACGGTGGTTGATCGATGGTATTGAAAGAATTTTTGGTCTTAAAATCGTTTATTATGCTCCGTAGCAACATGTGTACCATAAAACCGGAAAGTGTACGAAAATTGTTTTTTTTTCGATTTTGCATTTGCGCGAAAATTTCCGTCGTAAACGGCCGGAATTGTGGGCCAACAAATTCCGGAAACTTACTGGTCTTAATGTATACATAATATTTCTAATAATAATTTCAAACCTTTTTGACCAATTCTTGAATTCCGAAATATTTCTGAATCAAATTGAGTCTGCTTTGTCGAATTTATATTTATTTTTTTATACCGTATTAAAATCTTTATCGCTTATCATCGAAAACCAACATTAACTGCATACAAGCAGTAGTATGACGGCAAAGTTTTTAGCAAATAAATTAATTCGGAAAAAGTGTCAACGCATTTGAGCTATGAGAAATGGACACGTGTGCTAAATAAATAAAAGAATTTGCAAATTCCATTTAATATGACAGGTGGCTATAAAAATAATCGTAAACACAAACATACTTAAGTACAAAGGTAAGTGTGTGTGAACATAGAAACTGTTCAAGGTAAAATACAGGTGAATAAAAATAAAGGGAATGAAGTTAAAAAAACAAAATTGCAGAGTTAACCAAAGTTCATGCAAAAGTTTCGCGAACGGATGGCGACGCAAAGCTAAAATAAAAATAAAACAAATTTAAATGGCGAAAAAATCAAATTAAATCAATGACAGATGGGTAGAGGGAAAAAACAGCTGCTAGAAAATGGCACATTAATGAAATTGTGAAATATATGAAAACAGTTAAGGGAAATTGTTTACAGCTTTAGACGAGTGCATACTCCTATATATGGTACATATTTAGATTATATTGTAAACAATGTATTTTTATAAAATTGAAGTTAACAAATTGCTTCATTTAAACAGCAAATCCTGTTACTTTTGTAGAAATTCTTGAAATTTTTGAGTAAATGGCGACTACTCTTTCACTATTGGGTAATCATATGACGTAGATGTACTCATTACATCATGCTTCCTTTGGTTTTATTCAACTCAAGTGTTTTCCTCTTCCGCATACATGACAACTAAGAAAATATTATCTTTTTGAGTTAAATATTTTATTTTTACTTAAAAGGTCCCTGTGAGGGCCACAAAAAGTATGTTAAATGTGTTTTTGTTTTAAGTTAGGTCGCTTATCGCCTCTTATCTTCTGAAAACTTAGTTTTAAGCTGGGAAAGCTGAGAAATTAGTATCTCTGTGAAATCGTACAATTATTCCATTCTGCCTTGTAGACGCTGATCTTCTCCAACTAGGAAGATGAACGCTTCTGTTTTTCTCTCCTTCTTTTTTCTATCAGAATTTCTATACATATATATTTGTATAACCCTATTATCTTCCCTTATATGATTATATCTATATTTATTCTTATCACTATTCCTATCTCTATTTCTATCTCTATCTCAATCTCCATCTCCATCTCTACCTGTGTCTCTATCTCTATCTCTACCTCTAACTCTAACTCTAACTCTAACTCTAACTCTAACTCTAACTCTAACTCT